ATATGTATCTAGTGATAATTCTACATTTTTGAAAAACATTCATCCATTTTCAATTACAGTTATTAACAAATGCGATAAAACTTGTTTTCCATCACGTTCCTATTTAGTTATAATTAGATATGAACTAAATCTTAGATGCTAAAATGTACCCTAGGAACGTTACTAAAATATCCGAGAAATTTCATTTCTTTTTTGACATGATGTTAGGAGATAAATCTGATCCACATTGGATTTATGTCAGATCAAGTGTAAAAAAAATAGTGTCTTTCTCTAAGAAGTTAATATTTTTGAAAGATATTTCTTTTGTAAATGATACGGGGCATTTTAAATACATGCACTATTAGTTATCTCTTATCTTAATACTCTGTATTTTTATACGCCTGGATCGAAAGATCCGAGGCGTATATTGTTTTTGTCCTGTTTGTCTGTTTGGCCAATTTTTTAACCATGATTGGTTGAGACTTCATATTTGGTATGCCTACTCCACTAATTAAGCTCCTTCAAATGACACCAAGATCAATGACCTTGTGACCTTGACTGTGACCTATATGCTAAAAATAGTTTTTTCTGCAAACTAACCTTCGCCATAACTTTTGAATTATACAAGATAGAGACTTCATATTTGGTACGCATACACCACTGATTAAGCTCTTTTAAATGACACCATGGTCAATGACCTTGTATCCTTGACTGTGACCTGTGACCCGTGCGCTAAATATAGCTTTTTGTCGGCAAGCTTTAACATTAAGATACAGACTTAACATTTGGCATGTATTCTCCACCAATTAAGCCCTTTCACATGACACCAAGGTCAATGACCTTGTCACCAGACTGTGTCCTATATGCTAAAAATAGCTTTTTTGAACCTTCACCATAACTTTTGAACCATGAGAGACAGAGACTTCATATTTGGTATGCATACTTCAATAATCAAGTTCTTTCAAATGACACCAAGATCAATGACCTTGTGACCTTGACTGTGACATATATTCTAAAATTATGTGTTTTTTTTAAATTTTGTTGCCGCCGGGTGCATAGTGTTCACAAACACATCTTGTTTCTTTTTATATTAACGGATGGAAAATGACAGCTGGAACTTCAGAAGATAAAGTGTTTTTTCCTATCATGTTACGAATTCTCAACAACAGATTATTTTCAGAACAATTGAACGTTGTTTGAAGTAACATCATGTCTCTTTTCTCAGCATTAGGAACATCCTGAGGGCACACGACATACCTTTTTGTTAAATCGCGTTTGAAATACTTAAAGAATACTATTATTGTTGCTTATAAGTCAAGTGGTGTACTCACATGCATATCTCCTTTAAAACTTGAGCTATGTCTTCGACAAAAAGCCAAACGAAGTTGATTATAAATTTAAAACCCAAAAACCTTATAAAATATCCCAATAGTTATCTCTTTCTATTTTGTCGACCTGAAAAAAGGATTGAAGCAAAGATGAGGATTTGACAGTTTTATGCGCCCGGATCGATAGATCCCAGGTTTATGTTATTTTTTTCCTGTCTGTCTGTCTGTTTGTTTGTTTGTTTGTCTGCAAACTTTAACCTTCGCCATACCTTTTGAACCATGAAAGGTAGAGACTTCATATTTGGTATGCATACTCCACTAATTAAGCTCTTTCAAATGACACCAAGGTCAATGACCTTGTGACCTTGAATATGGCCTATATGCTAAAAATAGATTTTCCTGCAAACTTTAACCTTCGCCATAACTTTTGAATTATGAAAGATAGAGACTTCATAATTGGTATGTGTATTCTACGAATCAAGTTCTTTCAAACGACACCAAGGTCAATGACCTTGTGACCTTGACTGCGGCCTATATGCTAAAAATAGCTTTTTTCGAAGTTTGTTGCCGCCGGGCGCATAGTGTTTCACATACACATCTTGTTTAAATATGAGATCAGTAATATTAAAATAAATTTTGGAAACATCAGATGGTATAATCATGCAAGTGTGAGGAGGGATAAGCGTTCTCTCTTGACAGGTCAAACCTCTGTGAGCATTCTGAATTGATCAGGTGTAAAAAGACCTGCATGTACGTCGTAAATATAAGATAAAACCGATGATTTTACTAATGGTAACAATCATGTCAGACAAAATACGATGTAACGCAAGATTGTTATTTTTATCCAAAGAACTGTGAATTGTAAATTCACCTTAGAAGGTCAATATATCGACTGCTGAATATGCAAAAAGTTTAAACGAGGTTGTTCAAGTCCTTGTTATATTCAACTTGTTGTCAACAATGTACTTGTGGCCTGCTCTTGCATATCGAGTTTTATAGGAGATATAAACATCTAAGTTAGATGATGTTGGAACACAAGGGAAGTAGACATTGGAATACAAACCATTATGCCAATATCATCTATCAATAGTCTGTTAAACATAATCAAAATGAAACAGATGTGACAGATTTTGTAGTGCCTTTAATTTCAAATAAATTGTCATATACATGGATCTGGTCGACACAGGAACAAAATAGTTATTGTTAATTAAATGCTTTCACCTTCTCATGTAGAAGTTTATAATTAATCTTATTCACAATTCGAATTTCTCAAAAGAATAGATAGATATCAATTTTGTTAATAATGACCTCTGTATCTATTTGATATGAATTTCAGACTTTTTTTATGAAGAATCAACGTCTTTTTTAAATTTTTACAAATTGTATATTTTTTGGAAGACCAATAACAAGATGCGAATTTGTAAATTTCATTCTCATAGAAAAAAAGCAGTGGTATATTATGTCAATGAATCTTGCTTTTTAAATTATCCATGTGAAATAGAAAGGCTTACTCTATCAATCAAAAGTTATTTGCAAAGTTAAAGTTTTCGTTGACAAACAGACGAGCGACCAGACAGATCAGAGACAGAGCAAAACTATGTCAGTATCTACCCACATTCTTCGATTACGTGAAGTCAATTCAACTAGAGGTATTGTGAGCAATAAGCTCATTAAATGATACCCCGCCTCCCATATGAACATAATGGCAGTGTCTATGTTAGCTGTGGGAAACCCAAAATATATGTCGGATCAAAAAGTAAAATAGGAGGTGCACAATGGCAATATGTAATAAAGATTCTTTGAAAGATTCATTAAATTTCACTCAGTAGTATTTATGAGGGGTTGCGGATAAGAGATGGGTACCCCAAAGCGTAACAGACAGGCGGATGGACAGACAGACGGACATACCGATTACTATATACCCTTCCGCTTATCAAGCGGGGGTATAATAAAACAAAACCGATTTTAATGTTTCGAACAAAGTTCAAATTTTTTTTTATTGCATATATATAAGGAGTAAAAAGGCAAAACTAACAAAAGTAAAGTAACCATTATACATGTACTGATTTAAAGAACCCATATTACCCTTAACAATCGTTTGCTGTAATTGCATGTAACTAAATTTTACCATTAAGATAGTGAATACTTTAAAAGTTTCATCAACTTTGAAACTTCACTTTTTATTATTATTATTAATAGTCTTACAGGTTTTTTTTACACAAATGATGCCAATATTTTGAAAAAAAAACGTGTAAATATATAAGGTATATTAGATGATTTTTTTTTCTTTTAAAAATGCTCGTGAAATGTAACACAATTTTAAAACATAAGAATCTGTAAATCATAATACTTTAAGTACTTTTCGATACTACAGTTAACTTAACCTAACCTAACTATAATAATAAACATTAATTTTTCATGGAATATTTTTGTAATGATAAAAAAGCAAACAAAACACAAAATCTTTTGGGAAACACTTATGTCCCATGTATGACAGCTCATAGCGAGGGTTGGAGTTACAGGTACTTGTTTCGTATACGGGGTACCCAAAATACTTTTTCCACAAGGTACCTAACTCATTCTCAGGCACCCCCACTCCAAACTCGTATCTTGTTAATAAATCAATCATTAACCTACTTTAAAATGACATTGTGTGCTTCAAGAGACCTTTTTACTTGTCAATAAAAACGATTCAGACGTCTCTGGTTGAGACTCCTAATTATAAACTACTCATTCATTCTTCTAATACATTTTAAGGCTTTTCTTGGGATACAGGTAGATCAGGTTGGGGTTACAAATTAAGGATAAAACCAGAGACAGCGAAATGGAATACTCAGTATCGGAGCCGGAAGTTGTATCCTAATAGAAGTCTTAAAATGTATCGAGGTAATTTTCGACGAATAAATGAGTGGGTTACAATACAAAGGCTCGACCAAAGACGTCAGAAACTATTTAATTGACGGGGGGGGAGTATCTTGAAGCAAACAATGTTATTTCAAAGTAGGTTTTTATTTGATATATTATTTAACAAAATAAGAGCTAGAAGCGGGGGTGCCTGAAAATGAGTTAGTTACCTTGTTGTAGAAATAAGTAGGGGATACCCTGTATACGTTTCAAATGCCTGTGGTTGGAGTTTCAGAAATGTAAGTCAAACACCACAGTCAAAATTGTTGGTATCCAAAAAGTCTTGTCATAAGAAATAAATGTTTGATGTAGGAAAGCTCTATAATCGGCCTTGTTAAAGTTTGAAATGTTTTTGTAAAAGTGGGTCAAATTTCCAGGTGAAGAAGCAAAATTTGATAATTCCCAAAGAAAAAAATCCTTGTCATAAAGAATAAACCTGTGAAATATGAAAGCTACAAACCAACCCACTCAAAAAATAAGGGCAAGGTTAAAGTATTGCAGACTATCAGACAGACGGGCAGGTCAAAAACCACATGTGAATACCCCCGAATCTTCGAGTATTGGGCATAAAAATAATGATTATGAATTAGTGAAGGCTTTTTATATCTTATATTCAATTTTCATACAACTTTTACATGTTTTAGATAAAATTATTTTTAGCTGTGCTTCTGAAAATCTATTCAAATATTAAAAATTATAATACACTTTTCTTTTAAAGCTTGGATCATCACGAACACCTACATGTAGCTGATTGATAATCATTTATCGTATTCACAAGACTCTGAATTACCATACTAGCTTCCTTCACTTTTATTCCAATAATTACATTAATACATTTTATGATATACACTGTGTATTTGTACTGGATCAAAAACAAAAATAAAGATTGTCGTAGGCAAAGTTGTCTATGTTAAGATTAAGAATAGCTTTAAATAAAAATGCTAGTATTAGACTAGGATGCGCTAGTTTTAAGTTTTATGTACTGATGATCCTTACTGTCCTCGGTATTTTTAATTAACTCATAAGGTGTTATTGGTTCAGACGACGAATCGCAAGGCGGTTCATTTTGATATTTTCTTGACTTTTCCGATTTTTCCGATTTGTTTGAACTAGAATCGCTGTTGGTGGACACTAATCTCTCTTCTGCTTCCTTTTCTTCTTGTAGAGGAGAAAGATAGCCTCCATTTCCTGGTGGTGAAGAGGATCCATTGGATGTGCTGCTGTTTTTTTGTTCTGGGGACCGATCATCTACATGAACACTATACCCATCATCGTCTGCTTTAATTGGAGGCAATGGCCGATTCCGACTTTCGTATTCTGCTGTAGAATACCCTTTTTCCTCTGCCAACATGGCCTCAAATTTCTGATCTTTTATTTCGTCATAATCAGCATAGTCGTGTGACGGGTCCTGAAACTCGGCGGCCGGATATCCCCTTGTACGTAAAGATCGCGCTTTCATTTCTTCTTCATCATTGAAATAATGCTGGTAATCGCCCCCTTGTGCGTTTTCCTTTGACCGAAGCAAATAACGTTTACGTTCCTTCTTCTGGCCTTTTTTCATCCCCCTTATTAAAAGACATAAAATTATGCAAAGAAGTATTAAAAATACGACAAATGAACTATAATTAAACTAACATTTCAATAATATAATTACTTTAATACACTCTTGGAAATGGAACTATGTTTAACTTACCATTTATAAGAGATGAAGTTAACTCCGAAACAAAGAATTAAAAGCCCTGGAACAGTGATAATGTAGGCTATAGTAATCACCGGAAGTCCCTTCTCTACTTTGACCGTTTCTATTTCCGGAACGTCTAGAAAAAAGAAACATTTAGATAATAACTCATACTCAATATAGGCCTGTTGACTTCTATTCTAGGACAGAAGTGTTTACATGTGTTTTATGAGATACTGATTTAAATAATGCATTGACATTCAAAGAAAACAGATGTACAGCATGCATGATTTGATATATTAAGTTAACAAATAAAACTATATACCAATCCTTACATGAGTAAATATATTACTCTGTTTTGACTGAATTATGAGTTTTACTGTTAAGCTTTATCAGCTTATTCCTATTTTAAAACATGCAAACCTAGTATATGAATTCAATCTATACTTTTACGAGTATCTTGGTTATTTCGAATAACTTTTGAACCACATATGATAACTGTTTCATTCGGAAAACCTACATACGCTTGCGCCATCTAAATACATTATCAGTGCATGCTCCCAAAAAATACAAAACACAAAATTATAATACTTTCATTTACTTGCAAAACCATTTTTACATGAACATTACAAATTAATTTGACGTGCTCGTGTTGACCTCAAATTGGAAGTATTTCAGATCTAGTGCTATGTGGTACGATTCTTTTGTACAGAGTCATTAAGGAATCTCACAACACTGAAAAATAATTATTTATGGAATGAAAATATTTATATTGCAAACTTATAGTAGAAGAAGGTATAAAAATCAAACACAAAATGTTTTTATCATTGTAATGAGTAATGATTTTATGTATTGGCCAAAAGTGAATATTTAATTTCCCCTGAGCTTGTCCACTGTAATGGCCATGACCTGGACTGATTGTCCCAAAGTAGATGTCCTTGAACTGGGTATCCTTGACGTGTATTCCCTTGTCCTGGAGGTCCATGTCTTTGATCTGATTGTCCTTCAGTAAATGTCCTTGGATTGGTTATACCCGGGTTGATTTTCTTGACCTTGTTGTCTTGTAGATTTTGTCTTTTGACCCAATGCCCCTTCTTCAGAATTATTGATATTACCTTATTTCTTTAAACTTCTATAAACAAATGAAAGGATCAATCAAAAGGCATAAATATTAATACAATGACTATAAAAGACTTCATAAAATTCATATAGATGTGCTTTTGTGCAATTATTTGTGAAAACTGAAAAAAGATTTAATAAATGCAGATTTCATACTGAATTTCAATCAAACTTTCGAGTTGGTGCTGACTGAATGTTAATTCATTTTAATGAGATTTCGATACACATCCGTATAGGAAATAAATAAAGGTAAATCATGGGTTTCAATAGTCCAAAAGCTTGTAAACTTATTACAGTTCAAGTTAGCGTGAGTTGTTCCTAGTGTTTGACCTTTATATTATTGTAGGCTTAGTGGTTCAGATCACAGGCTCGTAATTTACTTTCAATGTAAATAATTTCCTGATATGATGAAGGATCATTCAAAATTAAATTTTCATGGATAAGTTGTATAGATACCCAATGGCACTGACTTTGGTGTTTACAATGATAATGTGGCGTCTTCCTATATATGAAGGTTTTCTTACGTTTTATGGAGAAAAAAGATATAACAGCAAATATAAGGGTTGGCTAAGCTCCATAATGAATTTACTTTGCATCTCTATGCTTATTTGCAGCAGCGTTCTAAATTTTAAATATATCACCAAGGGGACAGGCTCATAGTTTGGACTTTCCCTGTAGAATCCTGCTAAAAGTTCTTCAAATACAAATATATATTTACACTTTTCGAGTAAACAGAAAACCTATTTAAGGCATGTTTGAAATCCTGGTTTCTCTTTGCAATAAAAGAGACGATAAAAATAATTCCTCTCTGATCAAATATTATGAAACTTGAATTACTTTTCTCCAAAAATCGCTACCATGTTTCGCCTCTTAGCACCTACATTTATCCTACAGTTCTGCTAAAAATTCAGCACATGCTACCTACAATCTTCATCTGTACGAAGTGATTAAGGAACTCAGAGATGGAGTTTTAAGAAGTATTGAACAGTCTTCAACACTCACCTTTATATTTTTGTCATTGGCCCAACCGGTCAAAACACTTGGTCATTTTTTTATGGAAAATGAATACTTCAAATGGACATTATTTTTTGAATTTATACTGGATCTTTTGAACATCAGCAAAACACTGCTCTAAAAAGAAAATGATAAAAATTATAATTTGATATAAAATGTATATGGCTTTTTATTTATCATACTTTTTTATTCTACATTTCAATGCACCATAAAAGCTCTCTAATTATCGTTATTTTGGAAAGAGAGGAAATATCATTCAATGCTTAACAATATTAATCGGTGTAATTTTGATGCTTATACAAGTGGCAGACACTTGGAATTGGCGTCAAAAATATATGGCATTTTATTTAATTCCTATTTTTTGTCTAACTAGTAAACTATTTCAAGGGGAGGTTTCTAAAGTTGTATTTTTAACGCTTAATTTATTTTTAATCGTGCTAAGAGAACACCATAAAGTTTCCCTATATTTCATTTAAAATATCTTTATATATATCTGAAGCCACATTACAACTGAAAATTACCTGGAAGTTATATTTAGGTACAACACGTTATGTTTTATTGTAATCACTTAATGTCCCACCTTGTTTTTTTATTGGTTATAAAATTAACTAAAAAACATAAAGTTGTTAGAATTGAGACATGTTTTCATCGTTTCAAAAATTACCCCATTCTAATAACCCAATACAATATTCTAACGAATGTACCTTTGTTGATTCATCCTTCTATCATCAGCTAATTGCGAATGAATATCTTATTTGTACATTTATCATTAAACGAAGGGATATACTTTTAAGCATATAATAAACACATAAGGAGAAATACTCGGAAATAAAGATGATATCCAGTAAAAAAAAATTTCTCTAGAAAAGAAATGGACCAGTACTAGTATTCTTGGATTTGTCCTCTTTTAAAAAAGGTTTTATTGCTTTGAGATCATAAAGTGAAATGTTTTTGTTTTTAAAAAGGGTAGCCTATACTATGCCTTCATTTAAATCAAATGATATATAGCAGTAGGGCACCTGAAAACTAAAGCTGTATTTAAGCAATTAAAATATTCTCGTGTCAATGTTTTGCCCAATCCGCTACATTTGTATTCACAGTAGACTCTCATTATTCCCAAAACTGCAAAATTTCTTTATATTTATACATTGTTACAGTGGCAAAATAATTTTCAATGAAAATTAAACTTAACAAAATAAAAATGATACATATAAGACAATTACTTCAAACATAGAATGAACAGAATAATAAAATATATATGGGATATGAAGAAGTAGATTTTTGCTTTGTAACCTCGAATAATTTCACTTCTTAATGTCAACTAATGAGCTTATAGCCCATCAACACGTACCCCCAAACTCAAATAATGTTATTAATTAATAAATTAAAATTGCGCAATATATTCCCAAATTAACTTTGCCTAGATAAAAATCATAAATTAATCCACAATAGTTATTGATAATTTGTTGACTTTTTTCCTGGTTCACTTTTTTTTCTGTTTTGCCTGATTCTGTTGAAAATGACCAGATGAGGTACCTTTACCTACTGGTAACTTGAAAGACGGAACAAATGTTTTAAAATTTGTTATATTATTTTGTACATTTTTGACATAAAACAGCTAGGGAGATCAATCATTATCTGGATCTTAATCATATGAAATTTGAACAACATGTATAAAATAAATGCAATTTTATATCAAGGAAGGAATAATGAAGCGATTTCTATTTACATGCATGTTTGTATATGTATTTCATTAACAAAAGAGCTTCACGATTATTAATATATAAAAGCAGAATATAAAAAAAATTCGCAATACAAGGGAACCCATTAACTACCAAACCTGAGGTTGAACTCTCTATCTGCGGAATCCAACTCTTAGCTGGCCTGGATCAACGTGCTTGACCACTGGCTATTCAAGTTGAAAGAAGTAATCTGAAGATATTCTAACATTAGTTTTTGTTTTGAAGTATTACTTTTGCAATAAAATTAAAGAAAATCATAACATTATTTATTTAAACTGTAAATGGCCTGTATTCTGTGCATCCGTTTGTCTGTTTGTCCGCAGTATCTTGAATACTGCACATAACTATTGAGTGGATGGGGCTAATGCTTTATTTTTTCATAAATGTTTTCCTCTCTTGAGTTCGAACAAATTTAACCTCTTGACCTGGGACTTTTACCCACTTTTGCAAAAAAATATCAAACTTTAACATGTTAATTTTTGAACAGTTGATACTAGGCCTTTAGTACATCACATGATTTATTGTGAGAAGACATTCAATAATTATAAATATTTTTTTCACTCTGACCTTAGAGTTTGAACCACTTTTAAGAAAATTTAACCTTGGTAACTACTTTCGAACAACAGTACTCATAAAGCTTTCATATTTCACAGGCGTTTTCCTTGTGTGAAGGCCTTTCTTTGGATATCAACTGTTTTTTATATGAATTTGAGAAGCGTCATCGCTCGCCATAAGCTGCCGCACGGGGGCATCAGTGTTTATTCTAAAATGAAGCATTTATCAAAAACTGCTAATGAAACCTTTATTCCCCCATCTGATATTATTTTCACTACCAAAAAATATCCACACCATATCAGTCATCTGAAATAAATGATTTAGTCAACTGAAGAACACTATTTCCATATTAAAGATTTATTAGTAAATTGGCAAAATGAGTTTTCTTTAAGCTATGCTACAATTGAATGCTTATTTTAAAGCACATGATTCATACAAACTAGGAAAAGCAATAAATTATACAGATTCGATTATGGAAAGCTTAAGGTAGATACATGTATATACTTGAACTTAAGCAAATGAATATAGATGATTTTGATAATGAAGTTACATAAAAGCATGAACGAAAAATCAAAAATGAGAGCTCACAACTATTTCTGTCGGTACATGTAACCTGCAAGTAATCTAAATAAATCCAAAATATTAGTTTTGTATTAAAATATTGTGTTATATAAAATATATGATACAAATGTATGAGTACTATTATTCAAAATAAATTCGTTATAAACATTTTTAAAACTTAAGAGGAACTATAAAAGAAAATACTATTAAAGCATGAATTCATTATAAGTTCGAAAAAAAAACAATGACGAAAAATAAAAATAAATAGGAACTACGACATACTAGTCTGTAGATCAATATAAGGATGTTCTTGGATAATACTTGCGTCTTTGATTGCCTCGTAAAGTGGAGCTGTCTTAGGTGGAGATTTGCGAGGCGGTTCATTCTGATATTTTCTAGATTTGTCCGATTTATCTGATTTGTTTGAGCTGGAATCACTATTGCCCGACAACAGTCTTGCAGCCGCATCCTTTGCTTCCCGAAGGGGTGAAAGATACCCACCATTTCCAGGTGGTGATGGGGAATCATTTTTATTTCGCTGTCCGCTGGCCTGCTTAGCTGCTGTAACCGGGGATACGTAGCCATTTCCTCCAGATCTTGCAGGGGGTTGTGATCGACTCGGCTCTTGAAAAACTGGTGTTAGGTAGCCTCCTTCTTTCCTCCTCTGAGAGTCTTGCATACGTTGTCGCTGGTCTTTGATTTCATCATATGCGGCGTATTCGTGTGTTGGATTAGATATCTGGCCTGCGGAGGGTCCTGGATGTTCAGCTATCCTCTCTAGTCCTATGTTTTCATCCTCGTTATGGTAATGTTGGACATTTATCGCTTGAGTGTCTTCAGAAAACTCTATTTTTAAGCGTTTCCGTTCATTTTGGGCACCACTTTTCTGTCCACTGTAAAAATTATAATTTTTTATTCAAAACATGAAAATATCGAAGTATGTTTTATTTTGATAAAACTTATTCCTGTTATTTCCGTCATCTAAATCTCTTAGCAAGAAATATCTGAAAATTCGTTGAGGAAATTTCGATAGAAAATACCATTTAAAGCAGATATAGTTGACCCCAAGGGAAACGATGAACATCCCTGACACGGTGATGATGAAGGTGGTTGTTATCTCCGGGCAGCCCTTATCGGTTATATCTTCTATTACGGGTTCATCAGTGTTGGTCGGCGCACGTTCTTCCTCTATTATATGTTCAGTTGTATGTTCAGTCGTTATCAGAGATGTTGTTTCGGGAGCTGAAAGGAAGAAAAATGTTGTATTAATAGAAATGTTCAAAACAGCTTCTGGGGGCTCGAATTGAATTTAATTAAGATTTATTTTTGATTATTAGTTTAAGGTCAAGATTTAGCTATCGAAATGCTATACAATTTCAAACATATGCGATTTAGTTCTTAAGTTTATTTCAGTTTTTATGTTTTCGTCTCAGTGAAATTAAAATCATATCGTGATAGTGCTTTTCAACAATGCTATTTTATAAAATTTGACTCGCCAGCATTATACAAACCCCCAAAAAAGGAAAGAACCCTTACAAGATAAAAACTATTTACAAAGCAAATAATCAAGAAATTTTCGAATTACCATTAAAAGCAAAAATATTTGACATAAAAAAATATTGCAGAATTTTCTTCGAATTACAAAAAAAGCTTGATTATCAAAATCAGTATTGGAAACTAATTAACATAAAAAAAATAAGAATCAATCTGGTGAAATTTCAATTTTCTTGTCTATTTTGTCGCCTTGAACCCACGATGAAATCCGTTGCTTTCTATACTCATTGCAAAATCAGTCTACAAAATGTTTTTCTAAATCTTGACCTTATGATCTAATTAGCAAAAAAAAAAAATTTGAATGGTTAGGAAAAGTGTTAGCAATTTTCAAGCATATTGGATATATGGCTATTTACAAATTTCCATTTCCTTAATCTGTGTCTTATAATTATATGTATGCGTGTGTGTGTGTTTTCAAAACGTGTATTGTATATATGGATGTGATGTTTCCTCCTGCTTTTGTCATAGGTCTTCAAAAATGTCACAAGTTTATTTCCTATCATTACGCGTTTTGTAGGAATCCAATACCTAACCTGAAATCTACTTAAATAACCCTAAATTGCTTTATTTGGATACCTAGCACGCACTGCGTAATTTAAGCACCTATTTAGGACATGCTTAAGATAAGTGGAAGACAAGTACGGATGATTTATTGCTAGAACTTTGCATGTAATATTCACACAAGAAGTGTTTGAATATCAATATTGTTGTGTAATTAAGTGAATTCTTAATGACGCATTTGAAGTACATCAGATTTGTTTAAATAAACAGAATATTCTTTGTCCGACAAATATAAACCCACAATTCTAATAGAAATGAATGTTTATAGTCACCTCATAGTCATTTTCCAAGTAAGATAATGCTGCAGCAGTACAAAATTAACGTTACAACAGATTCAATGATGAGAACAATATAAATATATACGTATATATGCATATGTTTTAAAATGAAACTAAAGTTCTTTAATCAGTCTTTCACCTTGTTGAGAGTTAAAATCAGTGTTCATTTAGATTCTTTTAGATAGTTTTCCATTTTAAAAAATTATTAAATTATACTCACTTCATACCAAGTACGGTGACAAGATATTTCTATAAAAATTGTTTATTGATGAAGACAAAATGAAAAAATAATACATTCAAAGCATTGATAATAATTAAGACAGTCAGACAAAATGAATCGAACAAAAAAAAATAAAATTATAAAGCAAAAAAGCACTAAATAAAGCAAAAAAGCACTAAATAACAAAATCAAAGGCTTATTTAACAGTGATCGAGCTTTTTTTTTTAAATAAGCAGCATTGTATCCTCATTTTGGGCCTGAAAAGTTTTTGCCCCCAATGCATATCTAATTTAAAAGCGCTTTACATTGCAAATACTTATACATGCTTATAGCATTATATCAAATTAAATAGAAAAAGCTGAGTATGAAATGGCATATCTATCAATCATGCATTATATATGATATAGCAAAACAGGGAAAGAAAAACAAAACCTTTATACACACATTAACCTGGAACATCATCAAATAATACTTTAATAGTTAAATTATGAATGAGTCATTAAAATTAACATTTTATGACAGGAATGAGTTTAACAAGAAGACACCTTCTTCATTCTTTGAAAAGAAATTATTAGTATTCATTTAGCATTAAAAACAATGAAAACAAAATAAAAAGTAAAATTTATTTTACAAAAAATAATTAAGTCTGTAGTTCAATGTAATCGTGCTCCTGAGTGACCCCGGTATCTTTTAACGACTCGTAAAGAGCCTTCGTTTTGGGCGAGGATTTGCCTTGCGGATCGTTCTGATATTTTCTAGATTTGTCCGATTTATCAGATTTTTCCGAGCTGGAATCGCTTTTGCCTGAACCAGCTCTTTCGGAAGCATCTTTTTCCTGTTGTAAAGGTGAGATGTATCCCCCGTCACCAGGAGGCGATGGGGAGTCACCTTTACTAGTTTTCCCGCCCTCCTCTTGTGATTTTTTAGCTGTTGTCTTTGGAGATACGTAGCCATCGCCATTAGTTCTCACAGGGGGTAGTGCCCGACTTTGACCTTGGGAAACCGGTGTCAAATAGCCTCCTTCTTTCCGCCTCTGCGACTCTTGCATGCGTTGTCGCTGATCTTTTATTTCATCGTACGCAGCATAGTCGTGGGATGGGTCGACGGACACTTGCCCAGCGGATGGACCCTGTTGTGCTAAGGGAATAGCTTCCGGATTTTCAGTATCAGTTTGATAGTGTTGATAATGAACCGTTTGCGTTTCTTCTTGGAATTCCTGTAATTTATGTTTGCGCTCTATTCTCCGACCTTTCTTCACGCCACTTAAAATATATTAAAAGCAATTTATCTCAATATCTTTTTCAAAGCAAGCATCTAAATGACAAAGACATACAAACTGCAATTTGAAAAAAAAAGGAATTTCCATATCTTGGTTAGAAAAGAATTAGATCAAATCCAAGATGAAATTTATTTTTCTGGATTATAATTAACAGTAAGATATGTATGTTATATACCATTTATAAGTAACAACGTTGACGCCAATACAGATGATGATTATTCCCGGGACAGTGATTATATAGGCTATGGTTATCACCGACATGCTGTCCTTCTGGGCCGCATTTTCGATTTCTGGTTGGTCTGAAAAAGAAAAAAAAAGAAATAAGAATTAATAAATGGTATCAAATCAGCTCAAAAAGCAAGGTAAATTGTTAAATCTTTATCAATTATAGTTAAACTTGAAAAGTAAAAATTTTAAAAATGCTTTTAAATTTACTTAAAATCTTCAAAGGTCAAGATTTAGTTAAGATGACATACACATTTCTCTTTTTGTTTTGAAATATTACTTTTTCTCTTTGTTCTTATGATGAACTATTCAAAGAGCCAAACTGAAGGCAAGAAAAAAAAATCATTCATTTTGAAAGACTTTTATTCCCTTTTCTTTTTTGTTTTTGTTTTGAGGGGGTAATGGAGGGAGTGTTAAACAGATTTCAAGAATGTTTTTTGATCTATCAACATGTTTTAATGTCTATTGAAAGAGACGGTGCAGTCATCAAAACACAATCTTGACCTTAAAGTTTATGCGACTTAAGACGAATTAAATCTTCATACATTGCATACACAGCCTAACCTTCTAGCCCTAGTGTTGTGTTGTTTTGTTTATACTTAATGTGTACTTAATTCATCAGTGATCATACTTTTTGCGCTTATTTTCAAATACAGTATGAATATCTAATTTGAAATTAATTACAATTCAGAAATATTGCGGATAGAGATTTCTCAGGGTAACTTTACGAATCCTTGACCGATATATTTGTGCCAAAGGTTTTCACGCTTCCTTAAGTACACATAAAGTATAAAATACTTGTATTCACGCCTATAAATTAATTTCCTAACTTTACACGTTTTGTAGGCGTCACATTCCTAACCTTAGCCGCGATTCTTTTCCTTTCCCATGGCAAGAACAACCGAAATACCGTTTATGGACACCTAACACGCACAGCGTTATTTTAGCTCCTATTTAAAACATGCCTAAGACAAAAAACACAGAACAAAATTTGTAATATTTTATTTTTTAACTAGATACAAACTTGGGACTTCAATCAAATATACATTTTAACCATTTAAACACCTCTTTTGGAATAGAAATGGGATTTTTATGTCAAATATTTATCATTTCAGATGTATGATAAATGCTTCCATGCTTTAGATAACCATGGTTTTTTTGTATATACTCGTAGATGGGCACTTTAAAAGACTTCTTTTTTACTTTTATCACATGAAAAATGTAAAGGAGCAACAAAGAGAATATCAGGAGAGGATGACAAAAAATAAATGTATTGCCCTACCTATAGCAAAGCTGTCAAATGGTATGGGTTTATGAGAAGATATCTTTTTTAAGGAGGGTTTATGTATTAAGGAATCACTGTATAGTTTGTGGGAATGTCAGGGCATCAGCGATAGTTGGGATATAATTTTCATGACGGACAAAAATGGGCAAAACCCCGTTATGCATAAATTTTCCAACTATTGTTGATGTCCCTGGCATACCCAACAAACTAGACAGTGATCCCTTACATTTCCATTCAATTGTGAAATAAAATTGTAAATTTAGATTTTAAAAATGTTGTCTAATAGATTTAAATTACATGTGGCCACCTATGTCAATTACAATTGTCCCCACCCACTGACGTCAGATATAAAGACAGACTCATGAGATCTACATGTATATTAGGCCTTCTTAGCTCTTGACCTTTCGCTTAGCGAAATTTACGTTCAGGAAAAATTATTAAGAAATTTACTCACTTAACTTTCAAAAATTATCACAGAGAAAACAGAAATGGAAATATTATATTGTAAATGATCAGATCGTCCTTGTGGTTCTAGAAAAAAATTATTCCAAAAGAGGTTGAAAAAAATGACTCAAAAGCAATATGAATAATTATGAAGGTGTCCTGAAAAGCAAACCATGAATTAATACAATTCAAAAAATAACACTTTAAATAATACCAAAATTTTGTTCTTTTATTATTTCATTATTATAATGTTTCAATCTTTAATTAGCTGAATTTTTATTTTGCAAAAGCAAGATTAGTAAGCTATATAGCTAGTTTAACATTAATTGTAATAGTCTATCAGTCAGTGTTAATGAAAAGTTACATATGGCAATTATAAGATCACTTATTAAGGTTTTAAAAACCATACATTTTAAAATTATTTGAAGTATATTAAGTTTTTTCTTTAATTAGAATGACAGTAGATTTATAGCAAGTATTGAGATTGTTCTATATAAGGTATCAAATAGAAACTTTGTAAAGTTAATAGATTAGTACAGAGAACACCTATTAATGGATCTTTGACATCTTTCTTCTATGTGTCTCATCTCCATGTGACAAAACATCAGCTGAAAATAATTGTTAGCGAAATATAAGATAATTTGTGATGCTTTCTTTCAAAAGTTATAATTATTTACATAGCATTTTTTGATATTTCAAAACAAAATGCCAATTTAGAACCGATATTATTACATACATTTAAAAAAAAGTTAAGAATCTTTTTGTTAATATAATTTTTAATAATTAAAAGAGATGAGAACATAACAGTTGCAATTACAGTATAGTTTATTTATAGTATATTTATTGACATAAAAAGGTTTTATTAAAAAATGCAGAATACTATTAAAGAAGTAAAGAGTATGATGCATTACTGAGAACCCCGTTGATGCTAGGTTAAAATTTAACAAATAAAAAAAATTAACTAATACTTCTAGGTCACCGTCTTTCTTGTTAACACTGAAAATATATATATAGTAAATTTTAAGAAACCTCCCGATAAAACCACTCTATAAAGATATAAAGATAACGTAAAGGATGGCTGTTTTTCCGTCCTGGTTATTTTATTTTTATCTTTAATGGAGAAATGCAAATGAGTAGGATATATATTTTTTAAGCGAATGTCCTACAATTCTCTCCGTTGGCTAACATACATGTAACATGTAATTTCAACTTCAGTATTAAATAGAAAGTATTTTTAAAGAGTAACATTTATTTTTTACCTACTATAAATATATTGCAAGAAAATAAAACCAAACGATATGTATACATGATTATACTTTTCGAGGAAAAACTCATCAGGCTAATTTTTTTTTCATACAACTTTGTCAATTTTGTTGTTGTTGATGATAATTTTTATTTAATATTTGGGGATAATTTCTAAATTTGTTTTGTTAAAAATCAAGAAAAACTATGCAAGTTTTTAATCATTACAAACTTAAACTTGGCTAATAGATATTTCGATTTTGAAAGAATATTTTCGTTTATTTGATTTTGTTGTTGTTTTTGTTGTTTTTGGTTTAATTTGTTCCGTTCTTTTTCTTGAGTAGAATACAGATTTGTTAAAACATTCTTATTTATTTTGAATTAACACAAAAAACAAATCCGTTTCAACAGGTATACATTTTTTTGCAGCTCAATTATTTTCTCCTACTTCATTTGCTGTTTTTGTTTCTGAAACTTAGATCCTTAGATTAAATAAATCTAATCAAAAATGACGCAGACTGAAGTATTTTTAAAGCAAAAGATTTTCTTTAAAAAAAGTAGATCTTGATAATTTGTTTTAAACCCAGAGAATATTTCTTTTCATTTGCATAAAAATGTAACTCGTACAATGATAACGTTGCCTTTAAATTTGATGATAGTTGAAATATTATGAAGGAAATTCTAATCATACTCACTTTTAGTGATTCTTTCTTCTACGAAAATGTCATATGGCTCATATTTCTCAGGGGAAAAAAATGTAGACTAAGTTAACGGTGTGCCGTAGTGCCGCATTCAAATGATGGTATAAGTTCTCTTTACAAGCTTTAAATACCGTCATTCCGGAAGTGAATGCTCGAACTCGTGTTTTATATCCTCATAACTTTCAACTCACATTTAGAACTCTCGAATCTAAAAGACTTCCTCATTTTATATTTGGGAATAAGTGGAATAAATTTTGTTCATACAACATGGCTTGTAATACCAAGCTTGCCATTTGGTCCTTTCATCCTGTTTACGGAACTTTATACTTTTGTAACCATTCTACGAATGACACACACGTGATTGCATTTCCATATTTTCAAACAACCCTCTTTTGACATAGCATCACTATTAACATCCTTCAGGGACATTTGCTTTATATATGTTTATGTAGTGTTTTGTGCCATCATATTTTCCTTATATATCATTTTTAATAACTAATATAAGAGTTGTACAACTGTACATAATAAATCCTATAATAAAATCCATTGAATACTATGATAAAAATTATGCATTTAATATTTTACATTTTTCGGTGGACATGAATTTCCTGGTCTCTTCATAGCTCGAAGACAACGAAAATTTAACCCCCAAGATAATTTTTGATTTCACAGTATTTCATAATTTGCATACGCAAGAAGTTTTTTTTTTTTTGGCGAAATATTGGATAGGATATACACTGCTTTGATTGAGAACTTTTGTGGGGGAAATGCAGCAGATCATTTTAGCTTGAACTTTCTGATATTTGTAAAGAAACATTGAAAGGTTGATTATCTATAAGATTGTTTTCTGGCCTTCGATGAAATTATCCATAAATGTGTTTTTATACGTTGTATTATTTCAATCCTTCTTTCATATGATTTTAGTCCTTATTTTCCAACATCGATGATATGATTCACGTGATTTATATATTAAAAAAATTAAAAATGGCAGACAAGCATAAAAATATTGAGGGTATGTCTATTTAAGAGGCAGTCCACCGAAAAACCAGACAGTATTGTATTAATAGCGGCACATCGAATGTGACAAATATTTGATATCTTATTGAAAACAATGTGTTCTTGAATTTCCCTATATAAACCATTGAATTTAGGTCAGAAATAAAGAACTGTAATTTCCAACACATTTCTAAAAGGACTATAATTCACGCTAAACTAGATCTAGAAATAATTCACCTTTCTGTTTCAAAAAAAAAATCCGTAAGCAAGACACTTATGTTAGTAGTTTTCTGTCAAAATATATTAGACGTTTTCATGAAATTTTGCGATGCAAGAGTTATCTCCCGTGGCATCAGTAAACCTGCTAAACATCTTACTATCGGAATCCTAGTGAAATATTTAAAATGGATACGCTAAAACAAAAAAATCACTTCTTTATTTTCAAAATAGAATTCGTTTTCGCTCCAAACTTAATATTAATTTAGATTAAAATTGGCTATATTATTCAGGTTGAGTCTATCAGGGACGTCATATACCTCACTACCAGGTAATATTACGTCACAATTAAATAGTTACATGTTTTCCAGATAAGTTTGTTTCAATTCTTTGCATAAAAGCGTAAAGAAAACGATTTAAAAAATAATTTTTCTTTTTTTTTTTTTTTTTGGCATGGGGGGGGGGGAGTTCAATTACTCTATGTAGGTAACATATTAATATCCATCTAATCAGCAATAATTTCGTATCTAATTATAATATATATTAGAGCCATTATCCTACATGTTCAATAATATATTTAGATCACCTGAGTAAACTCAAGTGACCTATTGCTATCCGTTTTTGGCCTTCGTCGTTCGTTAACATTATTCAACATAACTATGTACCTGGATAGATTATTTAACATTATTTTCCTTTATTTTAAAAATAATCTAACCAGGTACATAGTTATGTTGAATAAAGGTAGTTTGGCTTTTTGTGCCGCTTCCAAAATTGTGAATTTCATGGCCCAAGGGTCAGGGGTTCTAGAGCTAGGGTGGGGATAAATAGATTATTTAGTGAAAATACATTATTTCTTTGAAATCTCTTCTAGTGGGCATTAAATAAACTTACCGAGTGCATAGTTATATTGCATAAGAATGCATCTTCCAAAATTGTGAATTATATGGCCCTAGGGTCAGGGCTTCTAGTGCTAGGGCGGTGCTTTATAGATTGTACATTTGTATAGTGAAATTGAATTATTTCTTTGAAAATCTTCTCTACTCCTAAAAAAAATTATAAAATTTCCAAAATTTTGAAATATGTGTATGTGGCCCCAGGATCAGTAGTTCCTTCGGGGTTGGGTGCAAAACTGGTGGTTATAAAGTGGAAATGTATTTTTTCTTTGTTACTCTGATCTACCTCTTGGTATTAAGTAACCAAAGTAAGCATGCTAGGTGAATAGTTATGATGAGCAATGGTGCCTCTTTCAAAATTATGAATTTCCTGGCCTCTGGTTTCAAATACAAATCAAATTCAACTGTTGGAAAGTTGTAACATGATACTCAGGTGACCTATAAGGCCCCTGGGCCTCTTGTTATATACCTTACATATGTAGGTAACATATTAATATCCATCTAATAGGAACTGGTATTTGTCTTACACATGCAATTGTACGTATGAAACGGAAAGAAAAATAATCTGAAAATGGATTAAAATTTCGTATCTAATTATAATATATATTAGAAATCATTAGTTTATACTTAATTTTATGATCTTCAATTAACAAAATAAATATATTTACGCTAGCTCATCTCCGGATAACCATGCAATCACAATGCGCTTCGTCGTTTGTATAAAGAAAGAAGGGTCGTGTTACCAACTTATCATCTTGATGTCGATGGAAAGACAAATATCATAGCACAGCGGCAATATGTGCACATCAGCTAACATGTGAGCTCCTGACTTACCAGCCTGTTATAGGATTTCTTTTCTCACAAGAATATGAAATCCATAGTATGTTATTTTTCGAGGAACTACATGTATGCCTTGATTGTAACTTGGCCTTCAATAGACCATTGTCTTGTTTGTGAATAAACTAGAGGTACTGTGAGCAATGAGCTCACTAAATAATACCTCCCGCCTTTCATAATGTCCATGTGTTGCTATATATTGTTTTACGGTAATGTGTAAAGAGGAATAACTTGCCCTATCAAATGTTATCCAGAAGCTTCTATATGTGACGTCATAGGTAAACATATAATGGCAATGTCCATGTTTTGCTATTGGAAAACTAAAATACGTGTCGAATAAAAAAGTAAAATAGGAGGTGCACAATAGCAGCATGTAATATTTTTTTTGTGAAAGTTTCATTAAATTTCACTCAGTAGTGTAAGAGGAGTTGCGGATAAGAGATAAAGCGTAACAGACGGACGGACGGACGGACGGAAATCCCGATTACTATATACCCTCCCACTTTTCAAGCGGGGGGTATAATAATTTATATTTCACTAAAGGTGATTATATGTTTTATTGTATACACCTTTGCCTGCTTTAATTGAAATACTCCAAAGTTATATTTTTGAGAGCATCCTATAAAAGACGCGATAAATCATCCAAATCAAAACCATTAACTGACTCCCGTACACTTCTCCTAGCTGAAAGCTTTTCATTTTCCATCCGTTTTTGTAACCCATTAGCTATCTTTGATAGAAATGACATTAGAATTACAAGTTCTGTATCCTCAAACTCAGAATTTCTTAACGGAGGTCTGTACTTATTACATTAAGCAAATACAATACGTACATAATCACCAACAAATTGTATCCGTGTATTTGCATATTTGGCATCACTTGACCCAAATCTTTAATATCCATCGCTTTACCTTCCAATCACTGATTCAACAACCCAACTACCTTTGTAACCATTCTGGACACGTTACTTCATCAGTAGTTGTTGATGAAATGCTGTATACTATATTTGGAACGGGTTCGGAATTCGGGTCGGGTTCGGTGTATGATTAATCGTCCAGATAGCACGAATTAACATGGTGGCAGCGGGTGTGTGGACTCTGAAAACGTCTCAACGCTCCATATCGGCATATTTAAGGTGACTTTGAACATTATAAACTGATATTTGTACGAGTAAAGTTTGGCTTTTTGTGCAACCACGTGCATCCGCCATTTGCATATATGAAACATGGGCGAAGCAGAACCAACCCCAGTGCAGGTATATAACTGTCCTTTTCGATTACCGCCTGAGTTAGAATTAACAACAGGAAATGTGTCAGAAAATTTTAAGAAATGGAAAAGACAGGTCGAGGTGTATCGGGGGACCCCAGGTCCTAGTTGAGCGTACGTTTTATCCTTCTGCGTGGCACAGAGAAGTGCAGGTAGCCATAATACTCAGTTGTGGAGGCCTCCATGTGGTAGAAATTTATGACCAATTCAAGTGGGACAATGGTAATGACAAAAATGACCCTGATAAACTGTTTCAGAAATTACAATCTTATTGTAACCCCAGATCAAATGAAGTACTCGAATCACAGATTTTGGAAGCTCCCATACCAAGATCCATTTGATAGTTTTCTCACAGATCTGAAGACCCGTGCAGCATCTTGCAATTTCAAAGAACCTGACAGAATGATGAGAGACAAAATAGTGTTCACGGTTACCGGAAAGTTACAGGAACTTCTACTCAGAGAGGACAAACTTACACTCGACAGAACGATACAAGTTTTTAGGGCGTATGAACAATCGAACAGACAAGTAAAGTAACTACGTGAAACCACTCTGAAAGTGAACAAACTACAGAAATCTGACAAGTACATGCACAGTAAACAGAAAACAGAGAAAAAGAAGGAAATTCCAAAGACTAAACAAACTCAGTATAAGAAAAAAGACTGTGAATTCTGTGGGTACAAACACGAACCAGGAAAACAAAAGTGTCCAGCATGGGGAAAATGTTGTGAACAGTGTGGTGGAAGGAATCACTTCAAAGCAAAATGTAAGAAGATACATTCAGTCAGTCAGGAAGAAGAATTCAATGAGGACCAATGGTTGAAAGCTGTTAGTTCTGGTGGCAAAGAAGTGACTGCAATAATGCGTATCATTGAGTGTGACATTAGATTTCAACTTGATAGCGCCGCAGATGTGAATACAATCTCTCAGCGTTATGTCCACAAGGAGCAATGCAAGCCTACTAAAATCCGCTTGAACATGTGGAACAAAACAAACTTGAAACCACTTGGTGAGGCAAATTTGACAGTCGTCAATCCACGTACAAATGAGAAGCACCAACTCAGATTCATTGTGGTTCCAAATCATTACACATGTTTACTTGGACTTGAAGCGGTGCAGAAATTGAAATTGATTACCATAAATAACGAGAAATTCATAGCCAGTGTCTCAAGCAGTGACTTAGGTGATTTGGGAACAGCGCATCTACATGTCGACCCAAATGTGAAACCCAAAGCTCTTCCCTGCAGGAAGATCCCTATCGCACTCCAGATTTTGGTACGAGATGAACTTCAGAAGCTTTAAGAAAGAGGAGTACTTATTCCCATTACAGAGCCTACTCCATGGGTCAGCCAGATGGCTATTGCTCGTAAAGCCAATGGCAAGCTAAGACTGTGTATTGACCCGCAAGCACTCAACACAGCATTGATGAGAGAACATTATCGCTTACCTGTTCTTGATGACATTCTACCGCAGCTCAGCAAGGCTAGAACCTTCACAAAACTTGACGTCAAGGAGGCTTTTTGGCATGTTAAGTTGGACGAGGAATCCAGCAGATTAACGACAATGATAACTCCTTTTAGAAGGTATAGAAGGGCAGGATTACCTTTCGGTTTAAAGGTATCCAGTGAGATTTTCCAGAGGAAACTGGACGAAGCCTTGGGAAACATGACAGGTGTTTTCAGCGTGGTGGACGATATCATCATAGCGGGCTGTGGAGAAAACGATGTAGAAGCTGAGCAAGACCATGCTTTCAAATTGAGAAAAGTGTTGGAGAGATGTGAGGAGAGACACATCATCTTGAATAAAGAAAAACAAGAGATTGGACTCAAAGAAATCTCATTTCATGGACATGTTATTTCCAGAGATGGAGTGAAAATTGATGACAAGAAAGTAAAAGCCATTAATGACATGCAACCTCCTACTGATGTTTCAGGAATCAAGAGACTGTGTGGCATGGTTCAGTACATGGCAAAGTTCCTTCCAGACCTTTCTACCATAATGGAGCCGCTCAGAGAACTCACTCGCAAAGATAAGGCATGGCATTGGTCTAAAGACTGAAGCAGCATTTCAGAGGATCAAGAAAATGCTGACAGAAACTCCTGTACTAGCTTACTTTGACCCTGGAAAGGAAGTAGTAGTACAAGTGGACAGTAGTAAAGACGGCATTGGTGCAGTTCTCCTTCAGGATGGTAGACCGGTGGAGTATGCATCTAGATCACTGACAGCGTCAGAGAGAAACTGAGCGCAGATCGAGAAAGAAGCGTTATCTGTGTTATACGGTCTGGAACGTTTTGACCAGTATACATATGGCCGTAATGTGACAATACAGAATGACCATAAACCATTAGAGGCCATCCTGAAGAAACCTCTTGCAATGGCACCGAAGCGACTACAGGACATCATGATGAGATGGAACCGGTACAATTTTAATTTTGTCTATGTCAAGGGAACTAACCTTACAGTCGCAGATACACTGAGTCGCGCATATCTGAAGAGTGAGGAGGGTAATTTTAGTGAGAGACTTAGAATCATGGCATTGAAGAGTGACGAACTATGTGACATTCCTGATGCTCGCCTTTAGTGAAATAAAAGAAGCAACAGAGATTGACGAGAAAATGCAAATTCTCAAGGAAACCGTGATGAACGGGTGGCCAGAGCAGAAACATGAAGCGCCACAGAGAATTCGCCATTACTTTGACTTTAGAGACACTATATCATATTGTGATGGACTTATGCTCAAAGGGGAAGCTGTGATTATCCCTAAATCTTTGAGGAGTGAAATGAAGGCCAGACTTCACAAGGCTCACTTTGGATATGATAGTATGTTGAGAAGGGCAAGAGGAACAATATTTTGGCCAGGAATGAATTCAGATATCAAGCAGTTGGCTGATTGTTGTCCAATATATCAAGAAAGAAAACCAATGAAACAAAATGCTCTATTGATGCAGCATGCAGAAGGATCTACTCCATGGCAGAAAATAATGGAAAACATTATTTGATTGCAGTTGACTATTTGTCTAGTTTCATCGAAATCGACTTGCTTACATCTATGACAAGCTCCAGAGTAATAGCTTTACTCAAGAAACAATTTGCTCGATTTGGAATTCCAAATGTAATCATATCTGATGGAGGACCGCAGTTCGTAAGCCAAGAATTCCAAGATTTCGTAAAGAAATGGGGTATCACTCACATGACATCATCGCCTATGCATCAACAAGCCAATGGCAAGGCCGAGTCAGCTGTTAAAATCATGAAGACATTCTTAAGGAAATGTGAAGTGGAGAAGACGGATCCTTACGAAGCAATTCTTGAACAAAGAAATACACCAAAACAGGATACTGGTATTAGTCCTGCAGAAATCATGTTTAACAGAAAAGTGCGTGGCATGATTCCACATTTTCAACAGAAACTCGAGAAACCAGAAACTGATTCATTCGTCAGGAAGAGGAATCAACGCAGACAGACAGTAAAGAAATCATTTGACACGAAGTCTCGTGAGCAGAGTGAACTGGTCAAGCAGTATTCTTCCAGCATCTAGAGGGACGCAACTGGAAACTTGGAGAAATCAATGGTATTCTTGGACCAAGGACATACATCGTCAAGGATCAGAATGGAACCACATATCGTAGAAACAGAGTTCATTTGCGACCTACCGCAGTTAACTTCTACAGTCGTGACCGCTCACCGATGCGTTCAGTCCCAGATGATGATTCAGACGGCATACAGAGAAACTTTGTAACAGACTCTAAGCCAGTGAACAATCCGAACTCTACCGTTAGCGTAAGCGCACCAGAAACACCGTCCGCTGAACTTACCGTACCAACGCAAAGTGAACCGCTCTGTGCAGGAAGACCTATTCGCGAAAGGAGAAAATCAGCCTATCTGAAAGACTATATTACTGGTTAATGGACTTTGTATTATGAAATTAAGTCAAGTGATTTTCTAGTCATTTGTGTACATGTCATTTGCAATTGATCATTTTGTGTCTATAGGTCAGATACTTAACATTTCAGTGACATTTTGTGCTAGATAAGTGCATTATTCATTTTATATGTGTAAAATGATGGTAGTCTATTTTGTTTATGAAATTTGATGTTTTGATGAAATTTTGACAAATTTTCTAAAGAAAAGGGGATGTTGATGAAATGCTGTATACTATATTTGGAACGGGTTCGGAATTCGGGTCGGGTTCGGTGTATGATTAATTATGTTGTATGTGTATTGAACAAACGCATGTTGTTGATCGTCACAGCTATTAATTATTCGTCCAGATAGCACGAATTAACAGTTGTGTGCCGTTTTCCCCCTTTTTAAGAGACACGGCAACTGCGTTCGGAACCCCATATATATATATAAAATATAAAATTTCTAGAGAGGTATTATTTCTTAAAATAAAATAAAACGAAAACGAAAATGGTTCCTATGGAGATTTTGGATTAATTTGTAGATTCAACATTTGGCTCCTTTTTGTACATCATAACTTTATGGTAACCAAATAGTTTTTGAACACTTCCTTATATTGGTTGCTATCACAAATTTTGTTATACTGACAAGTATACCACAAATAATATCATAGCTTCATTCATTATTTTTTTTTTTCTCTTTTTCAGTAAAATAAATTGAATTTAATTGTATTTCACTAAATATCAAAATAGTAATTCATAACTTATTTTTAAAAATGGTTGCTATGGCAGCCAACAGTTCAGGAAAATCCTTTTCATTGATATGTTTTATATACAAAATCTACTGCTTTATTGCACGATTATATGTCTTCTTCAATAAAATAAATTCCATAAACCTTGTCATTTCACTAACATGAAAAAAGACTAAAAATTCTTAATTAAAAAAAACGGTTGCTATGGTAACCAAATAATTCAGGAATGATCCAAATAAGTATTGATGTACCAGTATACAAAACTTTTAGCACTGCCACCAATGTTTGTTTATACTTCTACTTAATTTATTTACCGGGACAAAAACAGATGAACTCAAACTTAACTGACATATATCTGAATTACTGCAGCAGGATTTGTTTCCATGGAAACGATAAATACCGACATAAAATCATGACCAATCTTTTGGAAGCAGCTTGCTTTATTAATTGAAACATATTTAACATGTTTTAACGTGTACATGCACTTCTTAGTTTAAGTAGGACAACCACATAGTCAAGAGTGCCCCACCCCCTCCTCGATTCAACTTGTTTTTGCTGTTATTGGAATCATCTTTTGCTGTTCCTTTCGTAAGGAATTATTATACCACCGCTACGAAGAAGAGGGGGGTTTACTGATTTACCCTTGTGTGTCAGTCCATCCGTCTGTCTGTCTCGCTGCCTGTATATCTGAACGTAGCAAATGTTTGGTTGCAGTTTTCCCAGCAATTACACATGTATCACTATTCACTGAAAATGCTTGAAATTTTAGCACAGTATTTGCTAAGGCATGCATTGTGGCATTGGTGGGTAACATTTGAGTTTCTTAAATCTGATGTCAATTTCCTGTTTATCCGTGTGTCTGTCCGTACCGTACATAAAAAAAAAATTGTTGAAGTTTTCCCAGCCGAGATAAGCGTGATTCATACACATTAAGAATGACAATCAAAATTCAGTATGTAATTCAAAGATTTTGTGATTTTGTTCTTCCTCATTAAGGCACAGACGGTAAAATAAGTATTAGGGAAAGTGCAATTAGATTGAAAGTATACAGTTATACAAACCACCGCCACTCTTATTAGTTCCAAAACACTATCCGTAGGGGCTATGCCCCTGGGAGTGAACTCCCTATAAGCTTTTGAAATTCAGTCTACAGAGAACCTCATCAATATATGGCAGGAAAAATATAATGATCTGAAATAGTTTTCTGGGGGGTTAAAGTGAGGGGGGATAAAATGTTACCACCCCTCCTCCAATATGTTACAAAAAGGGGGGAGGGGTTGATATATTTGTATTAGTATTTTTTTTTTAGTTAAATAACTTATTTTTATCTAAAACTATTTGGAAAGATTCTTAAAAACATTTTCCAGAACATAAAGCCTGTGATAAATGGAATACTGAGATGTCCTTATAAAATATGACAAAATCAAATATAATTTTTTTTTCTCTGCTATAATTTGGGCACATAAATCCATTATTTCAACAACGACCATTTTACATATCCCCAATTTCTGCATGCAAGTACAATGAACTCCTCTCCATTGAAAATTGCCGTATTTCCCTATAAACTAACTTTAATGTATTCCTTCATAATATATTGTTTCAGTAAAGTGTACACATTGTATTATAAATTTGGCTTAAATTCAACTGTTGTAGTGTTTGCTATGACAAAAAATCTTAATATAAATAATAAATTAAATCATTTTTTCTTTGTTGCATAAAATAATCTGATGTTAAAGAAATAAATTCCTACGTTCTTTCATTTTTTTGCATTAACTTCAAGTTCCTAAATGAAACGGCACATTCACCCACAATCATCGACCCATTCAAAAAAAAAACTTGCATCAACAAATTTCAACCCTGCAAAAATTGAAACCTAAAAGAAAATTGCAGTTTTGTCACGTGTTATGAAATTAATTCTTTTAAAAAATTGATGAAATACCTTACATGGCAATAATTTTTTAACCCCCCCCCTTTTTTTTTCAAGCACACAATTAAAAAGCTGTTGTGAGGATATATACCGAATTGCTTTATATAATTTAGTTTAATTTGGTTAACATATATAATTTTTATCAACAGATGGTTTATATAATTTTCATCAACATCTGATTTTAATAAGACTGATAATATGTCTATAGATAGTTTTCGATTGACCAAGAGTTACTTCCCGTTGGCCGCCATACTGGAGGTCCAAATGCTCATATTCCTTCATTGTTCAACCAATTAAAAAATTTTATACTTGCTATTTTGAATTAGAAATCATTATTTTTCTGAAGTATATAAATTTTTGGAAGCCTCCTTTATTTAAAAAAAATTATTTGATAAAGATTTTCCACCAAATATTTCTGCTATATTTTCTTAAACTTGGTAAGACAAAGAGGGAAAATCACTGAGTCGACCTCCAATATGGCGGCCAACGGGAGGTAACTTTCGCTAAATTCAGGCCTATCGAAAACTATCTATACTATAAATTATTGATATAATTAGAATCATGTCATTATTTATGCTTTGGGTACTTTAATGTTTTTTTAAACATAAATAGGCATACCCTATTATTAATAAACTCATACAAAATATGTGCAACTTTCAATGTACGTGGTAAATATTTCATTGGTACTTGCCTAGTGATCTTCTTATTGCCATGTATATTTCTTCATCCCAACCTTCTTATCCCACCCTTAGCTCTGAAGTCTATTTAACTGATGTTATTTTCTTTTAAACACATTTTTTTTTCAATGATGCAGCACTTGTTGTCACAGAGGCAGGAATTTCATAGGATGCAATCCATTTTTAAGTTTATCACATCTATACACAAACATGTATATCTCTCAGTCACAGTAAAGCCTGAACAATCATTTAACAGTTTAATCATGGGTAATGTTAAATACTTCACAAGTTGGATTAAAAGTTTGAATTTAAAACCCCTAAAAATATCCAAAACAGACAGTATTTACTCCTCAAAGTCGTTTTCTGCTGTGTACTTTCACTTTCATTTTCATTGATTTAAGCAAAAGATTTCCGAAAGGGGAAATAACTCTTGTCAAAAATGTGTGTAAATTTAGAGATTTTTACAAACTTTACAATCAATTTATTTTCTTAAAGTAAATAATACCTCTCCAGTTTTTTCATATGTTCTTCATAAACGTATAAGGTGAAATTCAGAGCATCAGAATATTCCACCAGTGCCTGCGTTTTTGTACACATTGTTATGTTTAACCCCCCTTTTTTAACTCAATTTTTTATGTTATTTGGCATTTAACAGCAGGTCCAAAAAAAATTTCTACTTTTTTTAATAGAAAATACAAAAAACAAATTATTTCAAAGGAAAAAATAAGAATAATCACCTTTATTTAATTAAATGTACATGAATGGGAAGAAATATCATTTTAGGTATTAACCACTATGTGAAAAATCAGGTAACCTGCTTGCCACGGAAACAAGACCAATTGATCACTTTTAATAATATTTTTATAAATTGGGCTTATAATGTAACTATTTCATAAAGTTTCAGCAAAATCCGTGAAAATCAATTTCCAGCCCATTTTGATGCTTACAGAGAATGACTCTTAAGATGTGTTGTAAATCATAAAAACAGTCATTTGGTCGAGAAAATATCGGATAAAGAGTCCAGTTTCGAGTCGGACACATTATTTTTATTTTTGTAAATAGGGAAAAATAGGGTCGGCGGAATCGTAAACCAACAGAAAACTAGTGCTAATTGTAACGGGGACCGTTACAGATGTTCCCCAAACGCTCCCCAACTCCCTTTTGGTGCCATATTCCCTGTAAGCTTCATTAAATAGGACAAAATCTATGCCTTTGAGACTTTAGCAACGCCAAGTTCATTCAAATTTTAGCATTGCATGCGTGCACATGTAAATTCCATG